AATACTCTAACCACTGACCACACAGGCCAGCGTAAAGCTTTTTATAGGTAGTGGGAAATATGGCTCTATTGCTCTCCTGCTAGGCTGGGCCTAGAATTACGATTTAGAAGTCATCAGCAGTAGGGAAACTCAAGTACAACAGTCAACCAGACAAATATTCATTTAATTAGGATAAATGAGGACCAGGAGATCGTCAGGACTGTCAGGAGAGTTAGAATGTAGTACTCAAAATCAGACATAACACTGCAGCTATTGCTTGTACCTACACCAAGTGCAGTGACACATATATTCTTTGTTCTGGATACTACTGTTATATTTGGTGAATGAATCTGTAGTTATTTTTGGCAATCATATCACACTGACATTTTATACTCTGCTAAAAGTTAACTAAAATCTGTGGATGATTTTCAGTTTAGCTATTATTATTTGGGTCTCTTCTTGGCTCTATTGGTGCAAGTCAGTTTACAAACCTACGTACACTACTTTCCAATTATGACTGCATCAGGCTTTTGGTGCAAGAACCAAAATACTACACCTAAGTTAGATAGTTTATACTATGAGGACAATTATTTCCCTCCTGTAACTAAAAGTCCAGAGGTATTTGTGGTCAGGTTTGGTTCAGCAGATGAGCAGTGATGAGGAACCCAGACTTTTCCCTTCTTTAGTTGCCAACCCCTGTATCCTGATGCATTCATGCCTCAAAGACAAAAGATGGTGGCAGCAGCCCTGGGCATGAAAACATCCAAAAGCAGAGGGAGAGGTGGGCATTCTGATTCAGAGGCCTACTCTCTTCTCTCTTTCCTAAATTAAAATTAATTTACGTACAGTAAAATATATAAATCATAACTGCACAGCTGAAGGAGTTGACAAATGTGTACACCCACATAACGCACATCCCTATTGGGATATATAGAACATTTTTGCAACCACAGAGAGCTCCCTAGAGCACTTTCCAGGTTCATCATCACCACTGCCACCACCCTTAACTGCACCCAGAGGCAACTACAGCTCTTATCTCATAAACCATTCTTGTTTTTTTTTGTTATCAGAGATGAAAATTTTTCCCAGAGGCCCTCTGCCCCCAGCACACTTTACCTTAAATCTACCTCTTCATGTAAGGTAAAATGTCTCTTCTGACCTTTAGTCAATCAGTAACTAAAGCGTGATTATGATAACACCCTATTTAAGACCATTTATGATTCATCCATCCCTTGGGTCAGAGGGAGGGGCCCATCTGACCCCAGCACTTAGCTTCAGGTCCAAATAAAATGGTGTTTGTTGTGTGTTTTGTTTTGTTTTGTTTTGAAGCCAGAGGGAAATAGCTGTGTGTGCGCAAACACATGCACTACACACGTACTGAAGCATAGTAACCTCCATCTTGGGTAAAATGTGCTGTTTAAAACTTTAACCCTGCTACTCTGTAAACATTTTCTTGCTTAATAGGAAAAATAAGACTACTCCCCATTCCAGAGAGGCGATAAAATATGCCCCAGGCAGAGTTGTCAGTGCTGGCACCAGGTCAGGCCTTGAGATATGGTCTCACGGCCCTGTCCCAGCAAACAGGACTTTTTCTCAGAAGGTCCGGAAGTCTCATTCCAAATTTGGAAAACAAAGAGCTGAAAAACATATGAATTGAAAAGACTTCCACCATATTGGGCCCAAGAATTTGAGAAGCAAGAGTCCCTCTGGGCCCGCTAGTGCTAGCAAAAATGAACAGGACTCCAAATAAATTTGGCTTATTGATTAAGGCGTCTTCTGATTTACAATATAACAATACCATTTTGTTACTCTATACATGTAGATATCCAACATCTGACCTATATTCTTCCAACTTAAAAAAAAAAAGTATCTTTCTTGTTGAAAGTATTACAGATGTACTCCCCTTTCCTCCCATTGACCCCCCTCCACCCCACTCCCGCCCCTCCAGCCTTATTTCACATACAAATATGCTCATTCAAGTCAATGATTAAAGTACTGATGACACAAACAAGTGTAGAAACCTTCCCTGAAATTAAAACACCAATCCACATTTCAATGCTGTGGTCAAAGTTCTCGATCCAAGTCCAAATACAATCAAATTTATAGGTGTCTGCGCCCCAAATCTCCCTTTAGCCCACAAAAAATATCATGAAAAATGTCATTCAACACTGCCTCTGTTTCCTATACTGGGGTACACAAAGGTGTGTCAGTGGGCACAGTTAGTACCTTCCCCATTAAAAATGCCTTTCCCCGTTTTATACCTCAGTCTCAGCTCAAACATTTAGATCTCTGCCACTCTTGTGTATTTTTTTCACTTGCTTTGTGCCTGTTTCCTTTTTTTGTACACATTCTCTAAAAGCTGAACTCATGAGAACAATCGGAATAATAACATTTTTTAGTTGTCCTTTCATTTTTACTACTTTTCAGTGTGTTAATGATTTCATTGTGAGCCTCCCAATTCCTTTTTAATCTACCTTCTCTTGGTTTATATCTGTTACTACTGAGGAGACAGAAGCAGCGAGGTAGATGGGGCGGGACCATGGGGGCAGAGACAGGAGAATCAGGGAACCCAACTGGGCGGAGAAGGAGGGGCATGAGCTTTAAAATGTATGAAAGGACCAATCAGGAACTAAGAAGCATATGTACAAAAAGGTGTGCATGCTTCCTCCCATCTTCTCTCCCCCTGCATAGCCACAATGGATACCTGACATTCCTGTTGTGGGGGAGCACATCCCCGTGCCCGTGTGGCTTATGCCATGTGGGCCAGTACACATGGACTATAACAGACTTTAATCAGCTTGGATGCTGAACTACTCACGACTGTAACATGGAACGGAAGCTCTGGACACTGGCCTGCTCCTGGACCTTTCCCTGGACAGGCTTTTCTCAATAAACGTTGATCCGCTGTTTTCGTCTGCGACTTCATTCTTCGTTTTCTCTAGACAACGAACTCAGCCTCAACATCCCATGTTTTGGTTTCACTATGATCTTAGGAATGTAAAAAAACCTGCTTTCTAAACAATGGCCAGTTTTACATATCAAGCTGTGGCTAGCATATTCTTCATTATCTGGGGCCCTAAAATGGCACTGGCACATCCTGTGAAAATAATTTCCATAACTTCTATTTCATCCTTATTGGTTACAACTAAATCCATAAAATCTCCTCCCCCTGTTGCATTATCCACCCTTTCAGAAATAAGACTCTGAGCAAGATCAGTTAAAAAAAAAGTATCAAATATTCTGCCTTAGCAGAATGACTCCAGAGTATACACATGTCGTTTCTAATCATGACAGCTGTCTGCCTCTAGACCAGATCTGAAACTTGCATCAGGAGAGTAGCAGTCATATTCATCAAAGGTATCTATCTGTATTTGGCTCCCACAGTAGTATCAGTTTATGCGTCTTAATCTGTACTCTCATGCTATGTTCTCCACCATGCTTAAACCTACAAACTCAAGGATTTCCAAGCAAGGGCACTCTTCCATATATCTCAACATATAATCTGTTGACATAGTCCAGAGATTATCTATATCTCAGCAAGTTTGTGTTGCTTATCTATTTTCATTATAATTGAAGATTACCTTATTATTTTATCAGCCCTATTTACAAGGTATGAGTATTAAAAAGCATCAAAGATATAGCTGGAAGAAAGTCAATCACTTTTTAACATTTTAAAAAGAGACCCCTTGCTAAGTACAGCAGGAAATGAAAAAACAAATTTAAGGTAAATTTTTTCTATTTAAAAAATAATTTCTTTCCTTTTTTCTTTTTGGTAGCAGAACTGATATAAGTAGGGCTTTTTCCCCCCTCCTTTTCTCTTTTGATTCACTGATATTTTCTCAGCTTCCATATTACCTCTACCTTAGATTACACCTGATATTCTCCAAAGTATTTCATTTTATCATTTTATCTGAGCATTGTTCTTCCCTTCCCTCAAATTTCAGTTTAAAGTTCTTTTTATTAGGTTGGCAGGATTCCTGCTAAGTGCATTTCTCTCAGATGTACTCTATCTGTTACAGGGAGTCTGTAGTATTAAGAGCATAAGCCCCAGTTAAGAAAACCTAGTTTTAGTCTTCTAGTGCTGTTTTGATAGGGTGCTACCCGATACCAATTACCTTTTATTTCTTCTTCACAGTCATGCTTCAAATGGAAGAAGAAATGAAAACACCCCTTCAGTACCCACACCAAGTACCTCTAATCATTCCTTAGCATTGAATCAACAAGAGTAGAGTAGGTCTGTAAATTTGGTAAGTTTCAGGAAACCTCCTGAGGGAACCTTCCATTATCAGTTCCATCATGCTTTTACCTCAATATAAATGAAAAAGAAATGCAATGTCTCCTTTTTTTCCCTCATCTGGAGGATTTGGTTTGGATGTTTATCCTCTGACCCTCAATTGTAAATCTTTAGAGACCTACATGCATTTACCTAATGTGTAAAGAACATGCTATAAATTATCAGCCAATGTATACAAACATTTAGGGAGAAATGTCAAGAATTCCTTTTTAGGTTTTCAAAATATTCTCCTTTACTGGTGATAGTTACCAATAACTACATATATGGGTGTTAAAATCTGAGGTTGAACTTGAAAGTGTACCAGACATAAGAGTGACAAAAAGACATATAAATTCTTACTGTCTGAAGGGATTTTGCAATTTACTCAGTAAGCTAGCACTCCTGAACACAGACATAAGCATGAATCATATCTTTGCTGTAACACCAGACTTTCATAAAAAGGTGGTACATCCAATCAACCCCAGCACTGGGCTCACATAGGTGCTTTTGAGATGATTTTACAGCAGCAAGGAAACACCAATTCACAATTCTTCTTCAGTCTTAGAAGAATACATATTACTTAACAAACGCTTGATACAGAAAATAGGAATCATAAGAAGAATGAAATAAACATAGGAATAATAACCTGGAGTTATATCCAAATGGAATTTTCATGAAAAACAGTGATGTAAATAAAATGTCCTCCACTCAACATACAGCAATCTTGAACACTAAATATCAAACTTACTTTTACGATGATAAGCTTCGTTGGATTTTCACAACTCTGGTTACCATTTCCTGTGTGCTCTACTTCAAACAGGGTATTGTAATTTTCTAGTATTGTAGCCATTATCTTGTTGCAGAGGTCTTGCTCTTTCATGCATTCAAGCCCAGGTGGCACACTAAAAATAAGGGGAAAAGTTTTGAGAGGAATTACTTTGGAAACACAAAAATGCCAGCACAGCTGACCCAGGCTTATATGTTGACATCTCCTCAATGATTGATCAGCCTTCTTATAAGGACACCTGGGATTTTCAACAAGCTATATAGGGCCACATAAGATGTTAGGACACTTGCTGATGACCAAGATCTGAATCAATAGCTTGTGCTGAATAAGAAAAGTACCAGGTGTTTGGAAAGAAGGTATAGGTTAACATGGGTGCGATAATGCTTTGTAGATATTAGAAATTGCTATAAATACGGTAACATTTATCTAAATGTAAAAGCAACAAAGAACAAGTGTTATAACAAAAAGAAGGGGTATTTTATCATGGCAATAATAGTCACATAAATAACAGCAACACAATTCTTAGATAATGTACAAAAAATAAAAGGAAAAGATGAATACTACTGGAAAAATACTGATAGTTACTGAGGCTGAGTGATGGGTACATGGAAGATATATCATGTTATGCTGTCTTCATTTGGGTATTTAACAAAATTCCATAATTTAAAATAAAGTGAAAAAGAAAACCTCTAAATGAAGAAGACACCATAATATACATAAGATAAACATCTCTTCAGTAAGATTAGTAGTTAGAATAAGAATTCCTACTAACAATAAGAAAGTGATTTTTTAAAAAAGAAACAAAATCATGAGTTGAAAAACTTATAGAAGAAAATAACTGGACAGTCAATAATCTTATGAAATGATATTTAACCTCAGTAACCAGTAAAATGAGTTTACAAAGCAAAACTAAAATATCATTTAATACCCATCTGTATTAGTTTTGTGTGGCTGCTGTAACAAATTATCACAAATTTGGTGGCTTAAAACAATAGAAATTTAGTCTTTCACAGTTCTGGAGGCAGAAGAGCAAAATCAGTATTACTGGGCAGAAATTACTAGTAAAGTGTGAGCAGGGTCACACTCCCTAGAGAGGCCCTAAGGGAGAATCTGTTCTCAGCTTCTAGTGGGCTGGCAGCATTCCTGGCTGTGATTGCATCATTTTCGTCTTCAGTCAAAACCCACATCAAATTTCTCTCTGCTCTGTCCTCAGAAGGCCTTCCTCCATGTGTATGTATCTAATCTCCCTCTACCTCCTTCTTTTATTATTTTTAACCCTCACCTGAGGACATTTTTTTCCATTGCTTTTTCAGAGAGAGTGGAAGGGAGGGAGGAAGGAAGGGAGAGAGAGAGAAACATCAATGTGAAAGACATATCAACTGGTTGCCTTCCACACCAACTCCGTCTGGGGGCGGGGAGCAAGCCCACAACTCAGGTAGGTGCCCTGGACCAGAAATAGAATCTGAGAACCTTTCAGTGCATCGGCTGCTGCTCTAATCACTAACGATTAGAGCCGCGGCTCTCCATTCCCTTCTAAAAAGGATACATGTAGCCCTGGCCGGTTTGGCTCAGTGGATAGAGCATCAACCTGCAGACTCAAGGGTCCCAGGTTCGATTCCAGTCAAGGGCTTATGTCCGGGTTGCAGGCGTGGTCCCCAGTGGGGGGGCGTGCAGGAGGCAGCCAATCAGTGATTCCTTCTCATCACTGATGTTTCCATCTCTCTCTTCCTTTCCCTTCCTCTCTGAAATCAATAAAATATATTTTTTTTAAAAAAGGATACACGTAGTAAATTACAATTAGTGCCCACTCAGATAATCCAGGATAATCCCCTTATCTCAAGATTTCTATCTTAATTACAACTGTAACGTTCCCCCAGATAAGGTAACATCTACAGTTTCCAAGGACTATCACTTGATTGCTTTGGGGGACACAATCTACCCTCTTGTAATACCTTCTAGGTACATTATACTAAGGTGACTCCCATGAGTCACATTCTTGTACTTCACCTAAGTTGTAGACAGAATCTGTGACTTGCTTCTTTTTAAAATTTTTTTATTTTTTATTAATTTCAGAGAGAAAGGGACAGAAATAGTGAGAGAGAATCACTGATCAGCTGCCTCTTGCCGGCCCCTTACTGGGGATCGAGCCTGTAACCCAGGCATGTGTCTGGACCCAGAATCGAACTGTGACCTCCTGGTTCATAAGCCGATACTCAACCACTGAGCCACGCTGGCTGCTGTGACTTGCTTCTGATCAACAGAATATGGCAAAGGTGACAGGATGTTACTCCCATGATTACGTTATGTCATACAAGACTCAATCTTAGCAAACTTGTATGTGATTCTGCTGCTGGCCTTGAAGAAATAAGCTATGTTCAGAAAGAGCCTGTGAGAGATCCATATGGGAAGGAACTAATGTAGACCTGAGGTCTCTAGCTCACAGCCAGGTAGAAGATGAGGTCCTTATTCATGCAGTTGCAAGGAAAGGAGTTTTACTAACAACCTGTGTGGACGAAAGAGGCCACATGCTAACCTGACAAGCTCAGGGAGGCCTGCATGGTAGTCTTGCAAACTCAGAGACCTAAAGTAACCACAAAGGATGGTCTGAAATTAAACTTTAACTAAAAGCAGTTATGGTGGGCAGTTATGTTCTAGGCCAGTATCTTCATGACAAGATCAACCTGTACCTTAACTGAATGTATCCGTCTTTTTGCATCTATAACAGCGTTTCTCAACCTGTGGGTCGCAACCCCTTTGGCGGTCAAACGACCCTTTCACAGGTGTCGCCTAAGACCATCCTGCATATCAGATATTTATATTATGATTCATAACAGTAGCAACATTACAGTTATGAAGTAGCAACAAAAATAATTTTATGGTTGGGTCACAACATGAGGAACTGTATTTAAAGGGCCAGAAGGTTGAGAACCACTGATCTATAATAACTACCCTTGAAATGTCTGGGCAACTTATAACTTCCCTTTTTCCGGACCCCTTTGGGGCACAACCTAATGTGCCTGGGTGCCAGGACAGGTACCACAAATTCCTTCATTGTTACCATGTTAATTGTTCCTGCACCCACCTAAGTATGTGTCTATCATTTTACTTTTTATCCAATCCTAGGAGTTTCCCCACTTTGCTTTCTCCTGCCTCTCTAATTTATCACCAGTGGATTTCATGTAACCCACCTATGTCCCCTCCTTTGGTTGAAATGTATAAAAATAGACGAGAAACCGCCATTCCCTGGAGCACTATCCCAATCCATTGAGATATTGCTTCCTGGCAATTGTCGACAGTTAATTCACAAACAACTCTTTACAGGTTTGAATGTTTTTTACGTTAACATGTGAATGAGCTTGAAAGCAGATTTTCCCCCCCAACTCAAGCCTCCATTGAAAATACAGTGCAGCTGATACTTTACTTTCAGCATTGTGAGACCAAGAGCAGATGACCCAGCTAAGTTGTGACACAGCAAATGTTTATTATTTTAAGTCATTAAATTTGTGTTGCTTTGTTCACAATAATTGAAAACTAATACAGAGTTTGGTTCCTGGAAGTGGGGTGCTGTTGTTAACAAATATCCTATCCAATAAAGAAGGAATATGGTAATTGACACTCACGCTGTCACAAAGATGGTGGCACCCATAGCCAATAAGGAGGGAATATGCTAATTACTGCCCCGCCCTCAAAGATGGCAGTTCCCACAGCCAATAAGGAGGGAATATGCTAATTACTGCCCCGCCCTCAAAGATGGAGGTGCCCACAGCCACAAGATGGCGGCGCCCAGTCCCCTCAGCCTCCCAGCCCCCCAGGGCCGGCCCGAGGGGCAGGCAAGCCTCGGATGGCCAGTCACTATGAGGCGCACTGACCACCTCTTGGTCTCTTTCCCTGGCCAGCAGGCTCCAATTGCCCAATGACAAATGGGGAACTGGGTGGAGGGGCAGGGCCAAGGAGCAGGCAGAATGGCCGACCTCTTGGTCCCTCCCCGCAGCTGGCAGGCTCCAATCGCCTGATGGCGAACGGGGAACTGGGGGTGGGTGGCAGCGGGGGGCGGGGGCGGCTGCAGGCAGCTGGGGAAGATGGCCCTGATCACAGGCCAGGCCTAGGGACTGTAGTTGAATTTGTATACCAGGCCTCTAGTCTAAAATAAAAAACAAAGTGGAGGCTCCTCAAAAAATTAAATATGGAATTGCCTTATGACCCAGGGATTCCAAGTCTCGGTATATATATATCTGAAGAAATCCAAAACACTAATTTGAAAGAATATTAAGTACCCTTATATTTATTGCAGCATTATTTAAAATAACCAACATATGGAATCGACTCAAGTGCCCATCAGTAGATAGTGTTAAACATGCTGTGGTACATATACAGGAGAGAATACCACTTGGCTATAAAGAAGAATGAAATCTGGCCCAACCAGTGTGGCTCAGTGATTGAACACCGACCCATGAACCAAGAGGTCACTGATTTGGTTGCTGGTCAGACCACATGCCCGGGTTATGGGCTCGATCCCCAGTGCAGGGTGTGCAGGAGGCAGCCAGTAGGTGATTCTCATCGTCACTGATGTTTCTGTCTCTCTCTCCCTCTCCTTCCTCTCTGAAATCAATAAAAAATGTATTAAAAAAAAAGAAACGCAACTTTAAAAAGAAGTGCTTTCACACTATAAGTAAGCACACCCAGTTTTTATTATGTGGGGTAAGCATTCAACAGTAACAATGCTGGCCTATCCTGACTGTTCAATCGGACGAAGTGCTCCAGGTATTTTCACAAGAGCTGCTGTTCTTTCCGGTTGCTAGGTCTTTCCAGCCCTTCTCTCTCTGAGAATCAAAGTTTAAGACTAAGCATTAGTTTACCGTAAATATCAATTAGCTGAATTTTCTGCCATTTTTGCATCTATGATACGTTAAAAAGAAATAACATTTCTGTAGTCTTCTTCAATCTTTTATTTCTAACCTTCCTAGTCAACATGTTCTTCTCAGCTTTGTTTTATTGACTATTTTATGTGCATAAAGTCTTCTATGTCTTAATCTCAGTCATTAACAAAAGGCTTAAGTAGGTAAAGAGTAATGAGATACTTCACTTGTAACCTCTCTTTGTACTGTCATCATTTGG